AAACTGATTAGTAAGAGTACATACTGAGAGCGTTATTCTTTCTGCAGCACTCAGTTTCTACGCTCAAAAAAACTGCAGGTCTGTAAAAACTCTCAGATCTTTATATCGAGGTTGAAGCCTCACCTGTTCACCTGCTCACCCATTTACCTGTTCACCTGTTCACCTGCTCACCTGCTAACCTGTTCACTTGATCACCTGTTCACCTGATCACCTGTTGACCTGTTCACCTGTTCACTTGTTCCCACATTCACCTGGTCACCCGTTCACCTGTTCACCTGCTCACCTGCTCACCTGTTCACCTGTTCACTTGTTCCCACATTCACCTGGTCACCCATTCACCTGTTCACCTGTTCACCTGCTCACCTGCTAACCTGATCACCTGATCACCTGTTGACCTGTTGACCTGTTCACTTGTTCCCACATTCACCTGGTCACCCGTTCACCTGTTCACCTGCTCACCTGTTCACCTGTTCACTTGTTCCCACATTCACCTGGTCACCCATTCACCTGTTCACCTGTTCACCTGCTCACCTGCTAACCTGTTCACCTGCTCACCTGTTCACCTGTTCACTTGTTCCCACATTCACCTGGTCACCCGTTCACCTGTTCACCTGCTCACCTGTTCACCTGTTCACTTGTTCCCCATTCACCTGGTCACCCATTCACCTGTTCACCCGTTCACCTGTTCACTTGTTCACCCATTCACCTGATCACCTGTTCACCCATTCACCTGTTCACCCATTCACTTGTTCACCCGTTCACCTATTCACCTGTTACCCGTTCACTGTTCACTTGTTCACCCATTCACCTGTTCACTTGTTCACCCAGTCACCCATTCACCTGTTCACCCGTTCACCTGCTCACCTGTTCACTTGTTCACCCATTCACCTGTTCACCTATTCACCCGTTCACCTGCTCACCTGTTTACCCGTTCACCTGTTCACCTGTTCACTTGTTCACTTGTTCACTTGTTCACCCGTTCACCTGTTTGTATAACTCTTTTATTTTATTGTCTGTTCTCTTTGATTTTCAAGGTTTCGTTTGAATTATTTTGTGATTGTTTTTTGTGAAGCACTTTGAATCGCCTTGTTGCTCAAATGTAAATGAATAAACGTGCGTTTCCTTTTTCACGTTTTGGGTCTTGACTCCCAGCGGCGTGCATGAGACTCTGTCATGGCGGGTGGAGCTGGACATGCTCTGCTGCTCGTTTATCAGAATCATTGAAATCCCCAAAGTGAAGGCTGAGCAGGCAGTGTGATGGATAATAGTCCAGATAATTCCTCTTGTTTTCCATTGAGGACTTTCATCAACAAACACCTGTTTGGTGAAGTTACAGTACGATACTGTAAAGTAAGGGTCACTACGTTCTTGTGTCATTTCACAAAGAGACAGGTTCCCATACCATCCTCCGAGCAGAAGCAGGATATAGATTAAGGTCATGGAGGTCCTGTCGATGGGAAACAGAGAATCGCTGGCTTCCCTTCTTAAACACAGTTCAGTTTACTGTAAATGATCACTCCAAGGTTTACTGCTCTTTGCACATCTTGAGCCTCTGCTGTGGTTTCGTCAACCCTCAGGGGCATTAAAATACAAGAAGGGAGATAAAAAGATGGACGTCAGTTTGATTTCAGAGGTATGAAGCATAAACGAGGAGAGTAGAAAGTAAACATGTAAAAGTCGTCGTGCAGAGGATGAACATTAAAGTTTAATCTCAAACCGATGATTTAGCAGTGATGTGGAGATCAGGTCGGTCTCTCAGGATTCATTACTTTTTAAAGTGTGAATAATTGATCCCCTCTAACAGTGTGTTCAGGGGGAGCTGCTGAGAGGAATAAGAAGCAGACGTTGCATGGACACTTTAGGGTCTGTTTGTTTACCGCTGTGTGCATTGCTGCGGTGCGTTCAGGGGACTTTGTATTCATCTGTTTGTTTTCCTTGCTCTGCAGCACGTCGCCTTTAATTCCTCTAACTGCGTTCTCTGAAAAGAAAGCTGAAACACTTTGACATGCAGTAATAGTTGGTGTGCTTTAAAGAATGGCTGCTGTCACACACAGAGCACGGCGTGTATTTATATTTACATCTGAAGGATTAGTTTGGGATTTGTTTTGAACGTGAACATTACAGAGAGCCCTGCAGGGAGACGATGGCATCTCTGCATGCTGATGAGCTCCTTTACACTCACATGTCACTTTGAATACATCTGCCTTCACTCTGACCATCTGTGCGGCGTGCTGCAGCCTCGTCCGGGTAAAGCTCTGTAACCTGCGTGTGGTGACAAACTCTTTGTCCCGTGTAAAAGGACGCAGACAGGAAATTGGATTTCTTCTGCTCCCCACGGCGTGCTGGTGCTCCCTGCGTCCCTTCGCACTCGTCTCTCAATCACTTCCTGTCTCTCAGCGTAAAAACATAAGGCTATTAGGGCTGTCGGGCGGATGGATGTAATCCATACGGAGCGCTGTGCTGAATCACAGAGCAGCGTCCCTCCTCGCCGCCTCTAATGGGGCCGCGTCTGCACTTCAAAGGATTTCTCTTGAAATCAGGTGTGAGAGCTGCAAGTCTGCAGCTTTGATACGAGGCTAAAACAGCCATTTGAAATCAGAGCAGAGCGTGAAATTACAGCTTTTTCAACCCAACACTTTGACTTCTACATCCATAAAAAGACACTTTCTACACCCTGGTTTCCATTATCTTCTCCTCTCACGGGTCCTCTCTGATTAATCCCATGTTTGATTAGAAGCCTGTGATTTACGGTTCGTCACGTAAAGGGCGGTAGAGTGACGATCCACTGCCAGCACCGAGGAGCCACGCGGCCTCGGGTGCAGGGATCTAACCGGTAATGATCCTTGGCAGAAGCCATTTCTCCCCCGACAACAAAACGTCTTCCTGAACTCAAATGTTAAAACAACATCATGAAGGAATTCAGTCTTGCACCCATCGGAGCTCTCAGAGGGCAACGGCACTGTCGTAACACACATGGTGCTGTTAGCTCCTCCCCCTCATCGACAGCGTGCATCTGTTGACAATCAGAAGGCGGACCTATGTGTTTGTGTATTCAACTGTTATCATGACGGCTACAAACCTTTGTTAGCTAACTGTTAGCATGTGTAGTATGTGTTTGTGTATTTAGCTGTTACCATGACGACTACAGGCTGTGGCTAAATGTCTACATTAGAGAGGCTCATTTATAACATGCTAGTTGAGATAGGTTTGTAAGGTTCAAACATCTGAAGCTAACTTGAAGATGGACGAGGAAAGAGACGACTTTTTGGTGTCAGATGGATTTATTGATTTATTCTTATCAAACCCGCTAAAGCTGCTAAACATGAGACAACGACGACACCGCTAATGATACAGGCTAACGTTACGTCTCAATCTGTTCTGAATAATATCTGCAGGGATGTTTACTCTGCTCCTTGCGCTCTCTCTCTCTCTCTCACTCTGCTCCTTCTTCTGAAGGCTGCTGTGTGAACTAGCGGCATTAAGACTGACACACTTCTCACCAGATGACCTCGGTCCGCTGACAAAGTTACATTGTGCTGAAAACAGGCGAGCTCTGTGGACATGAGAGAGACGCCATTCTCCCTGTTGGAGGTTATTGTTCCATTAGATCGACTTTGAAACGACTGAAGGAGGAGAAGTTACAGACTGTTGCTTTAAATTTACATTTATACGTACAGTATGAAATAAAAAGCAGCTCCAAATGTTGACTGGTGCAGCATAATGAGTCAGTGTGTGAATGTGCAGCTGGACGTTAAATATAATAAGAACTAAAACAACAACAATAAAAGAATGAGGCTGAACACAGTTGGTGCACAGCTCACTGGGGGATATAAAGTTATTTTTCATTCTGCATAATAGATGGCAGGAGCGGCAGTTTATTACAGTGTAAGCATTTTACTGCTGCTGGACTTTTATTCAGCAAAGACAGAGAGAGGGTGAGGGCGAGGGCGAGCGAGAGAGAGGACAGAAACTTTAAAGACACACAGTCGTACGTTTGTTTGTCTCATCGAGGGGATGGACTTTTGATTTTAAAGATCAGACGCCTAACAGACCACAAAACACTGAGGGTTTATTTAACAGCTGTGTGGCCCACAGCAAACTCTGCATGCAAACTGCTACACATTCATCTGCTGGACAACAGAAAAACACGTGAATTATTAAACACTCTGCTGCAATGAAAACAGCCTGGGAGGCAATATGGTCCAAACGACGCCCAGTGTCCCTTATTAGTCTGAACAGCTGAATGCAGCAGGAGGGAGGAAGCAGCTGAGGCAGCAGGTGAGCTTTCTAAACTAATTTAAACGCCAGGTGAAAGAGAGTGAGACGTCTCTGAACAAACACAAACCAGGAATCTAAAATACTTTTCTTTACTTCAACACAACGTCTTCAGGAAAAGTCAACAACCATCCTGACTCCTCGCACGAGGCCGCCGCGAATCAAACAGTGAACGAGCAAACAGTCCAGGTATGTTTCTCACAGACACAGATAGCTACTAAACATAAAAAGTAGAGCTCAGACTTGATGGACGGTCTGTTAGTCCAATAAAGCTCACAGAGAGAGACAGATTATTAGTCTGATATTTACATGAACAAATCTCCAAGAGGAACTGCAGCTGTAAAGTTGTACATTTTAACATGGAGCTATATGGGGACTGACTCACTGCAGGAGACAGACTCTCGTGGACACTGGAGGAACTACAGCTTTAGGTGCTTGCGTGCTGGTTTTATGTCTTAGTCCTGAGGTTTTTTAGTATAAATCTGATATATCCCAAAGCTACATCTTGTATTTGCCTGTGAAGAGAGGAAGCCGTGTCCATGTCACTTTGAATTGTAAATTAAAAACCTGTCCTGCACGTTTTCTGCTCAGTGAAATGCTGCTCAGACTTGGCGCTCCAGCAGAGCGAGCAGCCAGTTTGATGCAGTTTTAATGAGTCAGTGTGAGTTGTAAAATGTTTTGTTATCGTGAGCCCGAAGTGATCCGAGCACACTGATGACACTCAC